TAATGACTTTTTTATGAGCAGGACAATGCCAGACCACATACGGCACGTGTTGCTATGAACTGTCTGCAAGCTTGTCAAACTCTTCCTTGGCATGCCAGATCACCAGATCTCTCTCCCACCGAGCATGTCTGGGATATGATGGGAAGGTGATTGCATCTGGCACGAAATGTTGATGACCTCGTTCGAGAATTGGGTCGAATTTGGCAGGAAATACCGCAAGAGAGCTTTATCGGTCTATGCCACGCAGTGTGGCAGCTTGTATCCAGGCTAGAGGCGGGTCAACACCTTATTGAACTTGTTACTGTAACTCTGCAATAAACGATTCAATTGTTCGGAAATTTTAATCATTTACCATTCTGTACATTGTCTTCCTATCCACCAATTTTCGTTTCAATCGGATAACTCCTTCTTGGTGCTTCGATTTTCTTGTTTTAGAGTGTATATACGATGATTTACACAGAAAAAAATTCTAAAAAAATGGCGTTCGCGAGCGAAAATGAAAGCAACGCAGATGATGAAGATGTGAACATATACAAAGACTAATATTTAACTTTTTTCATTTGCCCGAGATCATTTGAGATAGTAAACTGATGGTAAATTAAATATTTTTTACGCATAAAAAGAATTAAAATTTCAACTTAGAACGTGTGTATTATATTTTGTTTAGTTCCTTGTATTTATTAATGAAATTAAAAAATAATAATAATAAGTTGATTTTTTAGCATTTCTTCTTTTAAAAAAATTGTTAAGGTATTAATTGTAATGTTATTTGTAATGTTATTTCATATTGTTAATTGTAATGTTAATTGTTAATTGTAATGTTATTTCATATAAGCAATGGCACTCAAAACTTTCTTGAAAGTCAAAGTTTTCACAGTTTCTTAAAAAATAGTTCATTAGTTGGCAAACATAGTCATTCACTGATTGGTCAAATTCTCGAAAGTGTGAGCTGGCGTTTTAATCATCTGGGTTCGAATTCTGTCCTCGTGTTGCAGATGGAGTTGCGTGAAGGGATGCGTAGGACACGGAAAAGTCATTGGAACTAGTCTGGGAAATGAGAAGGCGGAAGCTGTCCAGCACTGCAGAGAAGGTGTTGCTGCGGCATTCAATAGGTAAGGTCTGGCCATGAGTGTTGACGCACTTCCGAAATCAGCGGGATTCATTAAATCAGGAATTTGCAGTCTTGATATTTTGGAAGGTGATGCATCTTAAAATAAAACTTTAATTAGAAGGAGAAAAATAATCACAAAGTTAATTTGACGCATCTTTAGACGAAAGAAAGCTATAAAACTGACAGATAGGAAATAAAATGATCTTGCTATTGAATCTGGACTTTAAAATGAACAAGTAGAGGAGAGTCGGGTATTCCCGCCCAGCGGGTGCCCCCGCCCAATGTCAATTTCATATTTATAGAATATTTTTTCAAGTCAATGGGCCATCGGACATTAATTGTTATATTGATAAAAGATTATTTTCAAAGTTTCAAGTATTTATGCAGCTGGTAACATGGTAAACAATAGTTTTGAAAATATGTTGAATACAGTAGTCTTGAAATTAAGAAAAATTGGTTGAATGTTTAGATTAAACTTCATTTTAGTACTAAAAAAATAATTTTTTCTATACATACAGCATTAGAGTATGTAGTCTTAAGTTTAATTTGCACGAAGAAAGAAGTTTATATGTGAGAAATTGTTCGAGTCATTACAAATTTACAAAAAAATTGGATTTCGGGGGTAGTCCCGCTCACATGAATGTCGGGCATCACCGGCCAATTTTATATCGTCGATAAATGTACGGTTGCAAAGATTATCTTTTTTGATTGCTTCAAATTTGAACGTTATATGCATTTTTAACAACAAATATTGTTGTTATATGATTGTTATTAAATGATAGAGTTCACTAAAAGTATATAAATATGTAATAAATAAAATAGATTTGTGATAAAAATGATAAATGAGGTTTATCTATTGTCAATATATTGGTCATTTTCATTTACACCTGAAAAAACAGCCAAAAAACATAATTTTTGTAACTGGGCGGGGCTACCCGACACATTTTGAAACGAGCTGAAAAACATGTTTTTTTAAATTTCTAATTTTTTAAGTTAAACTATTCTTTTTTTGGTTTATTCTTTTTGCATTATTTAATTAGATGATAAAACAATAGAAACATACATAAATATTGATTATTACTCAATATTATTCAGAACCATAAGCAATACTCCTTAAGTGGTCGGGGCTATCCGACTCTCCCCTATATTATACAAATAAGTACAGTTCCTGGCCAAATTATTAGATTATGATTCTATGTAAAATCTCAATTATCACGTGATACTATACAGCTTTATTGTCTTTACGAGGCTGTAACCGGTTTGAACTTGTTTACTCTCCTATATCAATGGATTAACATTGTAATTTAATACGTTAAAGATAAATACAAATAGGAAGTATATAAAAAATCTCCTGAATAACAACCCATTACATGTAGATATATTTAATTATAAAAGTATTGCATACAAACTGGTGCAAAACATGTCATTATTAAAAAACTACAGTGAGTCTAATCATTTGATCTCATTATTATAATACACTAATATAATACCTGATATAATCAATATTCTATATTTACATAACATATCGTCTAAATTTATCCGATCGTAGACTTTATAGAATATATCGTCTAATTTAACCTATTGATACACGAACGTAAACAAATGCAAACCGGTTTCAGTCACGTAAAAACAAAAAAGCAGTACCTGATAATTAAGGTTCTACATAGAATCTTATAGTGCGTCTAATAGTTTGGCCAGTTCACTGTATTTTAAAAAATACAATCATTTAAAACCGCTTCTCTTTTAAGTTGGTGCGTTGTTATGGCCCTGTAAATTACGTAGTATTGTACCTTAATTAATAAAAATTTCTCCGATGGTCTTCATCATAAAATTAATGAAAGTTATAAAAGTAAGTTTTACTTTCGAATTATTTGTTTATTAAACGGTATTTTTGTGTTAATTTATTTATCATCCTTTATTATACCAAAATTTTTTATTAGGTATGAAACATTCTATAATTAAGATGTTTATTAAATGCAAAATAATAACCATTTATTATATTTTTTTCTATTAATAACATAACGTGTATAATTAATAGTCATTCTACAAGTATTTAATAAGTTGCATTTGCTTTTTGCATTAAGATTTATGTAAAACAGTGTTTTATCAACATATGCAATCGAAATAACAAATACAAAATTGTAAAGTGATATAGTGTTTTGAATTAATTCCTCTCTCTTTTACAAAATAATATCTTCGTCATAAAATCATTATGAAAAACATTGCTTAAGTTTTTATAGTAACCAAAAATTAAATGGAAAATTTTAATTTTAATTTTTTCATTTTATAACAGTTGTTGAACAGCCAATCCAATGTTGGGTTTAATACTACTAATGGAAACATTTTCCCCGACCCGCCCTTATTTAGGGCATACGGGTAAATGTTTATTGAGATCAAAAAAATTCAGAAAACAGTACAAAATACACATCAGACATGACAACAGCCCATGAACATGATTGGCACAGAGCAGCAAAAATCATGTTAGGTGATAAAACATTAAAACAGCAATATATTAAAAGTGTCAGTTAAAAGAACAATTTAAAAGATAAACGTGCAAAATTTACAAAAGAACAATATAGTATAACATTTTACAACAGTACTTTTAAAACCAATTAAATAGTACAAAAGTAATTGCAATAAAATTGGAGCAAGTAAAAGTAGAAGAGTTTATAAAAGACATAGTAAAAGTTATAAAACTATGCCATCAATAAAATTGAGACACCCAAGCTGGAACGAGCAGGTTCCGAGACTATTAAAGACCGTCCACCAATACATACTGTAAAGTTTGTTTAATAATCTTTTTTATGATATTTTTGCAAGTCAGGTTAGCATAGCATTGATGTTGACTAATATTATTAAAGTGATTGCCCCGGAGTGTCAGGAATTGAGAACAATTCATTAACAAGTGATCAATAGATTGATATTCACCACAGTAATTACATTCTGGATTTTTGTGGAATGATTTATATTGGTGTTCTCCAAACACTCCGCGGCCTGTTAAAAATTGATTGAGATAGAAGTTTGCTTGTGGTCTATTTTATTTCGGGTCTTTAAAGAATTTGAATGTCTGCCTCCCTCTCTCGGAACTCCGCCATTTCAGCCCCCGACGCTTCATACAATATAATTTAACCTGAGTTTTAATTTGGGCAACCACTACTAATGTTCAACTCCGTAGCCTCACAATTTCGGATCCGATTCAGAAGACAAGGGATCTCCTGGGTCAAGTATTGGGCGAAATTTGCCTTCGTGGAGGCATCTACCAGCATTTGCGTTGCATTCATTGAGAGGAAAACCATGAAAATCTCAAAAGGTTAGCCGGACGGCAAGGGGACTCTAACCCATGATCCGTCTACCACTGAGGATATTTTAAGTCAGCACTGTGGTGCGGATGCGGAATTCATATAGACCAGCCATTGCTGAATTCGAACCCGGTTTACCTCATTGGAAGCCAAACGCTCTATCCCCTGAGCCATCCCGGTTTTAATTTTAAATTTGTACGTAACAATCTTTTTCTAGTGAGGAAAAAAAATGATTGAGGGATTATCGAAGAAAGTTGGCGTGTGAAGTAAGTAGGAGTCAAAAACCCCCTTGTTTAGCATTAAGATTCAATTACGTTTTTCAATCAATAGCTGTTTTTTAGGTAAGGGAGTTTTGATTGGTGACACGTGCGTCGTGTCTTGGCATTCCTTGGAAGCAAGTGTGCTCAGTTACAGCTGTGTAGTCAGTTCCATGTTTTTAAAATGTTCTAGTTTTACAAATCGCCCGCCGATCGTTTTTAATCGTCAAAAAACGTGTCTGCCTCATACATTCACCGGCAGATTTGTAAAGTTTACGAAGCTTCCTACTGGTATGCTGACAGGAAATTTTGCTGCTCCACGACAATGACTTTCTCCGCAGTTCAGCCTCGAGCTTTAATGGATTCTTTTGGCTGGGAAGTTTTGGACAACCCCTCAATACAGTCAAGACCTCGCGCTAAGTGATTTTTCAAGCATCATTTTGGCGGAAACCAGTACAACGATGCATCGCGATGACGTGAAAACTGCCGTGACATGTTAGTAATAGGAGCTGGCGGCAAGTTACTATGAATTGGGTATTCCAAATCTAGTTGTAAGGTATGGGAAGTGTTTAAGCAAACTTGGCAACTATTTTGAAGAAGAGAAGAAAAAAAGAGAAACGTATGTAGAATTAACACTAAACATACCAACACTTTACAATACAATACAATGCAACATGCATTCTATTGTATTGTATTGTATGTTCAGTGTTAAGAAATAAATTTGCTTTGTGAAAATTTCCTCCCGATTAGTTTTAGTTTTCAAACTGTTCTTACTTGAAAAACAGTCCTCGTATTTCAGTCTAAATTTTCCTTATTAGTTTCGTTAAAATTCAGAAAAGAAAAAAAAAAGTTTAGATACCTTCTGTTGTATCACTTTTGGATTCTCCACCGGCTTCCCTTTTTTTTAGCCTTGTGGGTTTCAGTATTTCTTCGATGGAATATCCTCCGCTAGAACTCTTCGCTTTTGAAGGTCCGGGGTTCGAAGCTGGTGGGCTATTTGGCGGAAGTAGATAAGATGGAAACGATGAAGACTGAGCTCCTGTGAGAAAAAAATTTGTAGAAAATATTATACATACATTCAGTACATAACACGCAGTGTCTACAAACACCGCCTTTAAAGTTATGCTTGTTTCATAAATGCAACGTGTTGAGTAATGACCACCCTAAATATATATTTTCAAAACGATATCTAAAATAGAGTTGAAAAACTGTGCTCATTAGGAGTCTTATATTAATATTGTAACACTCTCGCTGCATATCCTTACTGGGATGCATTTTTTCCTTTCATTTAAATGTGCAACCCGCTTTTTTCCCGTTCATGATTTCATTTCGGCTTATTCTGTGATGTTTAATTGTTTAGTCAGATCTGTGTTAACAGATGGCGTTAGTTGTCATTATTACTGCGTTCGTGATTCATTATTTCGTACCATTTTGCGCTCTCTTTTCGAAGCTCAAAGAAATGTAGCAGGAAGCGTTTCGCGAATTGTATACATTCTTGGCAATATTTACGACACTGACAACAATTCTGATTCTGATTTCAAATATATTAATGATAGTTATAGCGAAACTGAAAAGAATCTCTCGAATTCTTCTACGGTAAATTTAGGTAAATGTTTTGTAATTTTCATGCTTGATCTTTCCGTTTTATAAAATAAATCATAATTTTCATAAGATTATTTTTCAAAATTTTACTTCAACATGATTGTTTTTTAGTTTTAATTTTCCGACAACTTTTTGTTATGATTCTATTATATATTTTTAAAAGCATTTATTGCATATTTTACTATAAAATATATGTAAATTTGAAATACGCTATGCAATTTTTAAACCTCTTTTGCTAAAAATAAAAATACGCAGAAAGAGATTTAAGCGAGGAAAAAAAAGAAATATAGCTATTCTAAGCCTAACGAATCACACTAAAGGCGAGATTGAAAACATCAGAAATTGCTTAATTACAGAGGGGGGGCGCAAATTATTGCGCTGAGATAAAATAAAATACGCATTTGTAGTACTTACCAACGGGAGGGGGAGGTTCATCGAGAACAACATGTCCACTGTTCCTGAGTATTCTATTAATAGAAGAAACAGAAGGGATGGAGGTGTCGTCACATACTCTCTGATTTCGTAAAAGATCTCGAATCTCCCATGCAAAGATCGATGGATTCTCTTGCTTGTATCGGAGAATTTTTCTCACAACATGAGGAGTTGCCACTTGCTGAAACAAAATAATACAATTATTGTAGAAGAGGTTAAATGTCCTTTTTTATTCATCTTTTGAGTAAAACTGATTTTCTTCACAATAATGGATGATGTTTTCAATAGGAATGTAAACAATAACAATCTCGAGCTCGGCACTTACTCTAGTTCCGGTTAAAAAGTTTGCAGCTGCTTACTACATGTTATTCTGTTAGGCGATGTTTTCAAACGGATAATTTTGTTTTCAATAAAAGAAATAAATTAGATAATTTCTGAGCTCAAATCTGCCGTATTTCATAAGATATTAATGTTATTATGTAATTCTGGGGAGTTTGGAGTGAAAATTTGTTTTAGTTATTTTGTTATTTATTATTAAAAAAGGTGACATGGTTGCTAGATTTTGAATAACTCGCTTTTTTGGCAGTCTTGATTTGGCCTCTTTCCATTTGTTTATTACTGTTTGTTCGTGTTGCAAGCTGTGCACCATCTTACGTTAGTGTTAACACTTTTAGTATTGTAAACACAAGTATTGTTAGCATTGTAAACATAAGTAATAAGTAATCAAATACATTGTTTGCAAGAATCTCAAAACACAATGATGCCAAATGGCTTTAAAATACAACTGAAACAGTAACCCGGAAATTTAGGCAGTCCCGAGCTTGCAGCGTTCCCTAGTGTAGAAAACACCATCCATTGTTCTATAATTTATTCATGAATCGTTGGTGGGAAAGGTATGGTACTTTTAAATATAAGGTAAAATTTCCCTTATTTATTACTAGCCACCGGATGGATACATTTTCGCCTAAAATTAACACCATTTTGCTCCAGAACATGCGCTTTCAAATTCACGAATTATTATTTTTTAAATGGGAAAGGTGAAAATCATCCGGATCTGCTAACTTTCAGGTTATTGTACACTGGTTCAAAATTTCATGGCGACTAAATTTCTTATTGCAGGCTGGGATAGCCTTGTTGGTAGGGCATTGGGCCCATGTCCAAGAGGTCGTGGGTTCGATCCCCGCCTGCCGAAGACTCCATGCACAGTAAATTTGTGGAGTCACAAAGTCCTCTCCTGGTTAATGATGAAAATAAGAGGTTTTCAATCAAATGTTCACTTACTTTAGGTTTGCTCCCTCCAATGGAACCAGGTTTGATGGAGCCAGTCTCGTAAAAGCGTGTCAATATCTTGGAAACACATCCGTGAGAGACGAGCAATTGTCTAGATATGTCACAGGGCCGGACACCCATTAGAGCTAGTTCTACAATTCGGCGACGTACATAATCTGGAAGAGGTCTGCCATTGACGAACACTCCCCCCAGCTGATTCACTCCGGCCTGACCTGTTGTAAAAACATATACACAATGAGCAGAAATATTCGGCATGGAGGCAACAAAAGTTGAATATATATATAGTTTGTCTAAAGTAAGAACTCCCCATGCCTTTCGTCTGGCGGTGACTGCGGTTAAGAGGTATAACTATTTCAAGTAGTAGTATTTGGTCATTGTTTAGGACATGTTTTTGTTCAGATCGGCGAGAGAAATAGACTATTTTTCTTTGGTCTACTGTATTAGCCGCAACCCTCCCTGAAATGCGCTATTCTTGTTTCCATAGCAACAGATGGCCTCAGACTCTGTGGCGGGGGGAATTCTTATCATAGACAAACTGCATGTTACCGTTAAAGCTCCCAATCCTGTTATATCATAGAATAACTAGGTATTTCATGAAATAACTAGACAAGTCAATTAAAGTATATGATAGAGAAAAAAATTATACTTTATCTAGTTATTCAATAAAATGTCTATTGATGGACCGTTAAAGGGAAGAAAAACAATTTCCAAGTTATTTTATAAATCAATTGATCATAAATAGCTAAAATTTCCTGACATTTTATTCCTATTGCGGATGATTAGTGAATAAAAAATTACGGAAAACAGATGATATAATTTATTATTGCTCATATTTTAGTAGCTGCGTCTAAAATCAAAGGAATGATGCGTACACACGTCTTTCCAAAGCAGATATAAGCGGTTCGAAGCTGACTAAAAGCAGCTAGAACAGGATTTTCGGGTGGCGTATTTTTTACTTTAATGATCAAGTAATCGTTATTCTATAGAATACCCAGCTAATTTTACATACTTTCAATGACTTGTCTGAAGGCCGGGATAGCCTGGTTGGTAGGGCACAGGGCCCATGTCAAAGAGTTCGTGGGTTCTAACCCTGCCGGTCGAAGACCCTGCAGGTGTAGTAAATGCTGCACGTTAAATTTGTCACGTTACAAAGTCCTCCATGTTTCCATAACAAATCATACCTCTGAGGGTACTGATCCATGAGTTTCCTTGTCTTCTGAATTGGTTCAAAAATACAAGGCTGTGGAGTTGTTCATCAGTTGTCGTAAACTCAAAATTGGGTCAGCTGTTCAACGACGGTTATAAAATAAATTAAAATGACTTGTCTAGGTGTTTCATGAAATACCTAGTTATTCTATGAAATATCGGATTCCGCATTTTAACGGTTATATATATGTATATATGTATATGTATATATATATATATATATATANTATATATATACACAGTGAGCAGAAATATGCAGCATGGGGGCAAAAAAAGTATTGTCCAGCGAAGAAGAGACTATACTTTGTGCTACGTAGGCTAAATTTAAAAAAAAAACTTATTAATAGTAAACTAAACTGAAGCAAAAGACTTATTACAGTTCTCTCATTAAATGTAAACTTTTATTGCTAAGGGCAGTTTTTCAAGAGACCCGTAAACAGTTGGTTTCTGTTGTCATGTGACTTACATATTAATATTGGTAATTCTATTTTGACTCGGTTTATCAACGGTTTTGGCGAAGAACTTATTTATTCAACTCAGAACATAAATTAATCCTTGAAAAGAAATGCAATAAATTGCTTAAACCTAAACGTACTCCTAAAACTATTCCTTTACCGCCTATCAACCAAACTTTTGTTGTCAGTCTCTCTTCTGTTACGCTGAAAAATTACCAACTCAATGAATTTAAATTTAATAGCTACCACCCTCCCCACCATCAATACCCAAGTCGGTTGCTACTATCGAAAGGACTTTTAAATTTATTGTTCTCCTCAAAAAGATTCAATTCATTTGAATTTAATTTATTACAATCGTCGTTGAACAGTAGACCCGATTTTGGGTTTACCACTACTAATGTTCGACTCCGTAGCTTTGTGATTTTCAACCCAATCCGTTACAAAGGGAACTCTTCTCTGAATTAAAATCTTTGAACTAGGCCGATAAAGGAGGTCGAATTGTAATTCTAGAGGAATCTCAAAAATTGATTGATGAAGGTCCATATAGATCATTACCTAAAGTTGCTGAGTAGGAATCTGTTGTTAAAACTTCAGTAATTATTCCTAATCACGCAATTAAATTGCAAATTTTGACAGACAAACTTTGATTTAGGAAAATTAAGTTCTTAAGAAAATTCTGCTATATATACTCTACATACTCACAATTATCAGGCCATAACCTGCTGAATTTAGTAATCGGGTTCTTGAATTTAGTAATCATTTTATTAATCACTATTCTGTAATTGAGCTACTCCATTAAACATAAACAGCATAAAAGTGGAGTATTGAGAAAATTTACGTACGCAAAATTAGTGTTTTAAAGCATATCGTTTACATAGTATTCGAAAGGCTTCTTCACGGAATTAAAACTAGAATCCAAAACACAATAAAAATTTAATTTTTTAAAACTTTACTGCTACATTTTTCATTTTCTTTTTTTTTTTCTATTAAAATATTTATCTTAATCACTTTCCTCGTTCATAAAATTGCAAGACGAGATCTGCAGTAAGTTTTACTTCAATTATTTACTGAAAAAAAGTTATTTTCTTTGACAACTCAACTAATCATGCATGTCAGCCAGATATAAACTTGTATGCTATCCATAGATTTTTTTTTCTGTGCTTATGATTGCTTATACGCTTTATAAATATATTTCAATTTTCAATTCTTTGTTGCCTTAGGCAAGAAAAAAAATGTCATGTTTTTTTTTTTTTTTTTTTTTTTTTTTTTTTTTTTTTTTTTTTTTTTTNTTTAAAAAAAAAAAAAAAAAAAAAAAAAACAAGGGGGTACAAGCTCTCCTGCTCGCTGTGCACACACCAACCAATTTTCTACTATTTCATCGCATTTCCTGTATGTTTTTCTACACATGTTTGTAAATTCAAGCTTTCAAGCTTTATAGTTTTTGCGCTGAATAAGAAATTGTATCGCAAAATTGAACGTCCGAAACAGCGTCGGCAGTGGCGCGATTTCATAAAATAGAAAAAAAAAATTCCTTTTATTGATGCTGCCTCTGATGGAAACCGACTTTGATTAAATATCCTCTTCGTGTAAATGGCGCATAAAGTCTAAAGGCCGACAAAATAATAATAATAGACAGTACGCAAATTTTTACATAATTTTAAAGAATGTAATTTTAAATTTCAAAATACAAAATTTAGCAAAATCGGTCGATTATTTCAAGAGAAATCGAATTTCAAAAAAATATTACTTTTTCAAAATTCGATTTTTCAGGAACTATTCGACCGATTTCGCTCAAATTTTGTATCAATAATTGTATTGATATAAATTTGTCAGAAGAAAATATCCGTTGGANCAGACTATTAGTTATTGTCATTATCTCATACTCCAATTAATTTTGTGGTACTTACTTTCACGTACTATATAATGCATATTTATTCTCAAAATTGATTTTGAAAATTTTATATATCTGTAGTTTTTCAAAAAAACCTGTTAGGTTAATTTAAAAAACAAAAATTGACATCAAATTTTTTTACTTTTTTTTTTTTTCAAAAATTTTCCAAATTAGTTGGAGTATGTAATTGCAAATCAATCTATTAATTAATAATTAATTAATATTTAATAAATTAATAATTAATTAATTTGCTAATTGATTTATTAATTAGAAAATTAATTAATTAACCAATTAATTAAAAATTAATTGGAGTATGAGACAATTACAATAACTAATAGTCTGCATTGCAGTAATAAAAGATCGATTTTTCTATATATTGAATTATTTTTTATCTCTCACGGGACCTTCTATGGGCCGAAACGAATCTTACCCCTTAAAATTATTCCTCATAAGGCATACATCCCACTAGTTTATTTTAAAATTGGCGAGTCACACTTCCCCAGTTTCCTGTGTAAGCAAAAGTTTTATTACAATTAAACAAAATCGTATATTGCCAAATTTTTGTGTATTACAAACAGAAAGAATAAGAATTATTAATTCATTGCTCAACGCATATTTTACATAAACAGGGCGTTTCCATTGTACATTTTCAGCAAACATATTTCTTCTAATTATTGTAATTTCTATAATTCTAATAATTATTATAAGAATAGATAAGAAATTATAATTCTCATTATTTCTTCTAAGAACTTGTGCTGTCTTGATTGTTTCGACATTTTTCTGGGTAAAAACCAACAGTTAGTTAGAAATGAAGTAAAGCTATCCAAATAAAATCTAAGCTACTTACCAAAACATTTAGTTTTCGTCACTTTTTCCGACACAAAAATGCCAATCTAAAATTTTTTAGGTACTTTCTTGAAATTAGAATTCACAGTCATTCTGATGGAACGCACTACGCAACAGTCATTGCCAAAATGTGCAACTCATCGAATGCAATACGTTGAACGCGCATTACATCGTCATTTCTGATCCGATGACCTCATAAAGCAATAAATTGTTCTCCCGGTCAAATGACTGGCTGTGGCAGAAATAGGTATACGACAAGTATTATTCGAAACGAAAATAATATTTAAAACAAAATAATGATGGAATATTAACCGTATAGAATTGTTAGAAAAAGTCATGAAGTCAAATGTGCATAAACGACAAGATCGCAATTCTGATAAGCGATGTTTCGATGCAAAAGTTCTTAAAGACCAGTGGTATGTTTAGTGTTAATATTCCACAATCTTCTCTGACGGTTGGTACTTGTTTGTCAGAGAAGATAAACCGAGGGCCTAGGAGAAGGGGAGATCTATGCAACCCCCCTACTCCATCACAGAATTCATTAGGAAGCTTTCACAGGTGGTCCACCCTTACCAAATTATCCCTCCCGTTCCCACCCCTCATATTAAACGTCCATTAACGTCCCTCGCTTAACACCCCGGGACTGCAAAATAGTATCAGTTGAGCGGATAATGACGATATAACATTTTGAAAATGCGTAAGATTAGGATAAATATTGTTATATAATACTCCAAGGTTGACACGATTTTAAATCACGACTTACTTGGCGGTTTAAATCTTGTGATTTTTTTTTAATTTTTTTTTTTATTTATTTATTTTTT